ATATGTGTGTGTGTGTATGTATGTGTATATATATATATACATTTCAAGCCTGATCCCTGAACAGTATCCTGATAATTTGGAATATTTACCAATTACATTTACAAAGTTTATCCTCATAGAACTATCAGCATATTATTTAAGTACTGTTCATTAATTGTGTGACACTTTAAGGAGCCATGTGTATCTTGGTGGCCTCATGGTTTTATAGAAAACTGATAGGGCTGACCTTCAAGAGTGGCTTAGCCCTCATATGACTGACTTTTTTTTAAATCTGAAGAAGTCAGACATATATCCAGGACTGAGAGGTATGCTGTTTTAACTGGTGAGGTCTTTGGTCACTGAGTTGTCCTCCTGGTTACTGCAGACTTCTATTATATATATTCCGGGTTCAAATACTGCACCGAATTTGCCAGATGTGACTTTACAGACAGTGAATTCTGGTCCATTCTCTTTATTCCTAAGGAGCTCTCCATCCACATAAATATGTCTGCTGCTAGCAGATATGTTATATCTAATCTAATCTCTTATGTCTATCAAAACTGGTGCAAGCCATTTCTTGAAAGGCATAACCATTGTATGCATATCTTTTTTTTGTCCTGAATGTCCTATGTACCTGCAAGCTGGGACATCCAATCACAAACAAATGGGACAGAGACATAATCTGTAACAATATCAGGACAATGATTGTCAAGGGGCAAGGTCTACCTATTTCGAGAGATTTGATCATTGCAGTTAGTAAATAACATTTATCTGTGTTGTATCTTTATGCCTTTAAAGGCCAGTGAAGGATTCACTGATCTCCAGGCAGATGTAAGGAGCTGTACCAGTTTCAGAACTACTCTGCCGCTGACACGGGCACCATTACACAGGGATCAATCTCTTGACTTAGGTTAATATATCTAGGAGCTCTTTGTATTGAGTCCACTTGACACTTTTTTCACTGTTAAAGCTTTGAGGAGGGGGGATTGTCTGTCCCCCAAAAACACGTTGGCTGTTTTTTTGCTTTTCTGCTGTCAATCATGGAATTAATAAAGTCCTTTGGATTCTTAAGACATATATTTGGTGCTCTTTCTTGCTCAACTACCGTTGATGTTTATAACAGACAACATGGCTTCCAGTGTACATTTTGGGTTGGGCTTAATGAATACTTCAGAACTCTACAGGCATACGAGTACAAGGTAGATAAGAATTGATTATCTCTCCGCCCTTCTTTTTGTCATAAAGTTGGAGAGACAAACTGGGTACTTGGTTATCAGTAATCAGTGTGACTCCACCAGAAACTCTAATACGACCCTAACGAAAATAATGTATTTTGCTCTTTATGGTATAAAGGGAAGTGGACTAGATGCCTTTGCTATAGTGAAGTCACAGGTCTGTGCAGTTTTACCTGAGCCCTGATCCATAGTAATGGAGAAGTCTATCTCTCACTAATACTTAACCGCTTCCACGGATTCTTGCATGTGCTAACCCAACCTGTCTTCATTAACCTCTCACTGACTGTAAGAAAGCCTTGCCATTCATTCACTGGTCTCACAATGAGTAGAAGAATACAAATTAGAGGTGCACGTGTCCTCATTGGAAGATTTAGGCTCGTCTCTTTTGGTGATCACTCAACAAGTTTGGATTTTCCATAATTTTTTGGCCTGCTGACAGTGGTAACCAAGACCAAGATAAATCTTCCTAGTGGAGACACCAACAGTGATAAAAATTTAACAGGGGTTCTATTCTTTTCCCATTCCATCCAAAAATTATTGCAGTGGCTGGATTATTTAAAGCAGTGGTTCTCAACCTGTGTAACCTCAGGACCCACATTTGTCCTTGGTCATGACGTCGCGACCACAGTCGCACCGCATTGGAACGCACGGCATTGAGGTACCGCACGTTCCGATGCGGGCAATCAAACTGTGTACAGGAGATGCGTTTGGGGTGCCGTTCAAATGAATGGCAATGCAACACAACTCCCACACCAGAATTTGCGGTAGGTGCGATTTTTGCGTGGTACAATGCAGTAATCGATTCATTAATACAAAGCCTGTATGAATGAATAGAAAGCCTGCCTTAATTGGCTCAGCGCTGATCCAATCACGGCAGGCTTTCTATCCATTAATACAAGCCTGCCGTGATTGCGCCGCGACCCGTGATGCTGCCCTGATGGCGACCCGTGATTGCCGTGATGGCGCCGCGACCCACTGCAGAAGGGCTCGCGACCCACTTTTGGGTCGCGACCCATGAGTTGAGAACCACTGATTTAAAGCATACCTGTCTGGTCTGCAAAGGGGCAAACCCCCCTTCTCCCCATTCCCCTGTTCTAGACACCTTTCATGTCCAATACTATATTTTAATGCCTCTGTGATCCCTAAAAAAAAATCCTGGTATGCTATGGGGTTTGCACAAATATGAAATCATTAATGAGAAGGAAACAAACCTGCTTCTATGCTAGTAAAACTCTCAATACTAAAATGTAAAATGTTGTGTAGACCAGTGAGTAAATGATAAGCATTTCTGACTGTGTCATTGGCACGCAATGTCTGCCTTTTGTGCTAATGCTTATTTTCATATTTCAGTATTCATGTGATGTAATACCAGGAGCACACATGTTTAACATGCATATAGGAAATAAAAGCCTGATTCGTCAAGCTGCAACAACACTTATAGTAAACCTGTCACTTTGAAGACTTTACCTTGGTCTTGTAACACTCCCCCACCGATTCGTTTTCCTGCTGGAGCCTTTGAAGAAAAATACACCATACTTCCAGATATAGGTGAGCATGTAATGCTCTCCAGTTCCTCCCACAATGCAGTGCTTGGTGTTTGAGCAGCTACACAGGGGCACGTTATTAGAGTGTAAGCTCTGACACAGACCAACACTGACCTATTACACAAGGCTTTCCGCTCTGGGCTCCAGCAGGTTAGCAGGATAGCGGAAGAGTAAGATTCACCTGCTTTAAATGGGCAAAGTGTCAGATTCACTTTTAAGGTATGCTAAAATGGCATGTAATAGTATTGATTTAGAGGCCATTTCCGCATGCTTCAGGTGTCATTTTGCACACCCTAAGTGCTGCTGCAGTTTGATTAATCAGGGCCATAATATTACTGGGTGACTTTAAGGTTTTATTTACATTTTATACGAAAACGATAGTATGTATAGAAATGATGTATAAAATAAATCTGTAGTGTTACAGATTGGGTCAGGTAGAACTTTGATAGGTCTGGGTTTTGGAAGATCATTGGTTTGGGGTAGAAGTTTGATGGGTCTGGGTTTTGGAAGATCATTGGTTTGGGGTAGAACTTTGATAGGTCTGGGTTTTGGAAGATCATTGGGTTGGGGTAGAACGTTGATGGGTCTGGGTTTTGGAAGATCATTGGGTTGGGGTAGAACTTTGATAGGTCTGGGTTTTGGAAGATCATTGGGTTGGGGTAGAACCTTGATGGGTCTGGGTTTTGGAAGATCATTGGTTTGGGGTAGAACTTTGATGGGTCTGGGTTTTGGAAGATCATTTGTGGATGATGCTACAGTGACTAAGACATCAAACTCTGCTCCAATCCAGAAAAGCATCTTTAGCCTGAACTTGATGGGAGAATTGCCGAGGCTTGGCTTGAATCAGGTGGTGGAAAGGGGTATTGTCTCTTTCCAAAGGACAATAGAGGACAAATATCCTCCAAGCTATATTCACATTGCCCAAATTACTTGGAAAAGAGTAGTAGAAAGTGAAAACTCCATCGTTACTTCAGTTTTTACACAAAAGGCCATAATAAGTATAGGCATCATCAGTTTATGATCAATAAACAATAAACTGGTCTAGTAAGGAATGAGAAAATCGAAGTCGAAGTCTGTTCTGGCAGGAATATTTCTTATGTTTTTCCAGTGGGAGATATATGGGAGAGAACCAGTGTTTGAGAAGACCTAATTTATCTGCGTTTTAACGTCTCTATTTGTGCTTTCTTTCTCAGTCTTCGTAATACACTCCTTCCTTCGTGTGGAAGCCTTGAGAGCATAAGTTCCCTAAATCTAGATACTCAAAAGGACCAACCAGTAACCTCTGCCACAGCAAGCCATGAACAGACTGGCTCTGGACGCAACACTCCCATGGGACTAGTTACCCTGCTTAAGGAACATGGTATATCATCTGCCACTGCTGAGCCCAACAAGTTGACCACATCAGAAGATGAAATTAGACCACCTGTTCCAGCTGTACACTCTTCTTTCTTTCCATTGGTTTGGGGTAGAACATTGAGGGGTCTGGGTTTTGGAAGATCATTTGTGGATGGGGCTAGAGTGACTAAGACATCAGACTCTGCTCCAGTCCAGAAAAGCATCTTTAGCCTGAACTTGGTGGGACAATTACAGAGGCTTGGCTTGAATCGGGTTGTTGAAAGGGGTATTGTGTCTTTCCAGAGCACAACAGGGGACGAAAAACCTCCAAGCTAAATTCACATCAACAAAGGCCCAACAAGGCAGCATGAGAACGTACGGTAAAAACTTTGCACTGAGTGGACTTTCCAGGATGTGTACAGAAGATGAAGATTCCTGGAATATGAAGACCACAGACCCTTGTTAATACCGTTACTTGCATGCTCTGTTTGGACATTTCATTCATAAACCACTTACCATTTGACACTATTTCATCCATGTTACAAGAGAGTCCTCTTGTATGGTCACTATCCAGTGTATCAAGTGTTGAAATAATATAATGCCCATATGAATATTAAGGTAACAATAGGAACACAAAGTTGTTGCAGTAGACCAGTGCTGGCCATTGGGAGGTTGGCCAAACGAGTTGGAGAACTGGACGGTTCCTATTGTTCTCTTCTAACTAAGCAGAGATAAACCGGCAGTTGACATATTTCTCAATGTGCCCTCTGAATGGGCATGTTGGATGGAAAAAGTAATTGTTTCAGGGTCTGATTGTTCCATCCAACTTTTGTGCACGGGTACCTTCAGCTTAAAGGATATCTAAACTCGAAAACAAAAATGGAACATACAGCTGATTACCAGTCCTTAGATGTTGTGGCTGCAATAGTTTTCTTTCAAGAAATGCGTTGTGTCCTTGTCACTTCCCAACAGCCAGTACTACGGCCGCCCCCCAGGAAGGTGCCGCCCTAGGCAAACGCCTACTTTGCCTCGCGGTAAATACGCCCCTGCCAACAGCCCCCATGAAGTACAGATGACTAAAAGCAGACATGTCTGAAGTTGACAACCATGGCTCCCTCCATAGATGGTGGAGTGAGTGTAGTCACTCAAGAAGTATGTTATCCTCAGAATAACCAGATAAAAGTAAAACAAAGAAAAAGCCTGAAAAATAAATGAATGCAGACATCATATCTAAGGAGTGGTCAGCAATACATTCCTGATTTGTGCTTGGGTTTAGATACTCTTTAATAGCTAATGTGTTGCATGAGAAAGCACAGGAAGGTCTAGATTTGTAAACGGTGTTTTGGCTATAAGGGTAAGTTACTAAATGTGAAGTAAAAGCCATTCACTTCTCGAAAACAAAGTCAAGCTTCAGCAGATCTGTGCAAATGTGTCAAATGCTTAAGGGCATGGCCATATCAACTTAAGGGTTATCTCTTGAAGATGATAACCTTGTCTGAGGAGGTCTGGTCAACTGCTTTTTAAAGTAGGATCCCCAGTTTTCACTGGTTTGGGACCCCTGAACCATGAGGCTTGTAAACCCAATATAGTTAAGCCAATGTCTTATAATATGGAGACCTCAAAAGTTAATTATAATAGCCACATTGGAATCCTTACCCATTATTTGTTCTCCCCATCTGTGAGAATACGTTATATGTAACTTATATAAGATAAACCCAATACAGTGTCCACCTTGGGTCTTGGCTTTGAATCACTACCGTTCCATCTGCAAACAGTCCAAGTAAGAAAATAATTTCTTAGAACACACTACCATATCCATTTTCTGTTTTTAGCACATGACCTCTATAGTCTCATTGATGGACATCTACTTTTGTACTGCAGAGCTCTCTGCCTCATGCGTCAGATGGTCATGGTTTGTCTCGTGTGGTTTTACTTTGCAGCCCTGAATGGTTGGAGGGTAAATGGCCAAACTTGTTTTTTGTTTTTTATCAGAATGTTTGTTCTTGAATGCACATAAATGAGAAAGTGTTTCAGTGTAAATGTAGACAGATAAGAAAGACTCCAATTAAATAGAGATGTCTCTAAATGTATTGTAGCTAGTGCCTAAATCTGCTTTGTACAATCCCCTGCACTGTTCAGACTAGAAGGGGCAGTACTGAGAGCCAATCAGGCTTTACTACATTGCACAGTGCTATAAATGTAACAGATGGAGCTTTCTGATTGGAGGAGATGACTTCTGCCCCTTCACCTTCAAATTACAGCGTTATTCCAGCTGTATTGCTTTGACTACAGTGATGAAAAGTGGACAAGACTTTGGTCTGGATTAGAAGACTGACTGAACAGTTTACATTACATTTCACACTTGTGTATCTCTGTTAGTTTTACTTCATTTGACCTATGTGTCTGAACATATACTTCACCACTCTTGGTTCAATCTGTTTAACTAGGTCAAAAACCTAAAATCAAATGTCTGTTCATTGTTGCATCTTTATAAAGACTTTCAAGATTCTTATGTACCGATGCTTTCCTATGCCTGTGTTCTATTTGAATAAACTCTCATCGTGGTAGACGGTGCTAAATTGCTAAGACGGTGCACAAGTATGGCAGGGGTCCGTTTACCACTGGCAGAACTGATGCTGGAACTGCTCACATATCTGCTATAGGTGTTTGAGATAGGGGGACCCAGTAAAAAGTGACCAGTAAAAAGTCACTCGCACTCCAAAGCGATACCATAGTCAATAAAGAGATTGACTTGGCATCGCTTTGGAGTGCGAGTGACTTTTTACCGGTTTGATGAGATTTGCGGAGGCATCTGCTGTCACTGCTGCACCCACCCTGTTTCATTGGGATTTTCCGGTCAGAAGTGCGATGGGATATATTGAATCTTAACCAGTTTAGAAGATGCCTCCCTAGCGAGTATGTACAGGCACATTCACTACCTATGGTGCTTCACAGTGATTGCACTGCTTTCCATTGACCTATGCATATCTGAAGCATGTACAGACATTAATACTGGTGTTGCCTAACCAAACCCTTTGCAGTACATTGGTGCTGGTGTAGGACAGACACATTGGAAAGCATGCATATGCTCAAATCCTAATAGGTAAAGCTGCAGTAATGTGTCAAGGGAACTATACTCCATGTATGTCCATTATCTTGCTTCCAGAGGACAGGAGTCACACTTTAATGGAACTCCACAAACTACTTGAAATGATGAAAGGGAAATCTTCTGAACACTTTATTCTTAATCACTACTGCCATCTGCTGATGACCAGTTTGCTACAGTGCATTAAAAGCTGTACTGTTTAGTGCCATCTGCAGGTGAGGACAATACTACTGATGTACAGAGAATCTATTTTTATGGTGAACTGCTGACTGTGGATTTTTATGTTTTTTTTTAAATCATGTCAAAATTCTGCACGGATGTATTTTATGCTATGAACTGCAATGTGCTTTGATGATTGGGTGTGAAATATACAACCATGATGTTATCAAGAAGAAAGCTTACTGTTCTTTCCACAATAACTGCACTGGGCTTACAGCTTTGAAGGAGGAAAGAAGAGATTCATGGCAACCTACCCAAGGCACCTTTGTATCTTTGAAGTATCTTAAAGGGATGTTCCACTTTCAGTGAAGAAGTTGAAAACTCTCTAGTGGTAGCAAGTGGTGGGGTCTTTTGAGCGCTGGGTTGGCCACCAGGAGTGTGTGCCACTACTGTACACATTTACATTTAGAAAGTAGCCTTAATCAGCAAATTTATGTTTGAATAGTCCATCTATACCTGCACAAAATCCATTACATTACAATAAAAAGAGGTGTTCTTACCGCTGCTATATCTGAAGCAGAAGCAAGGGTCATGTGACTGGCACACTGCCCCCCTACCCCCTTTACCAGCACCGCCCCACTCAAGGTCCCCTGGCTTCTGCAGTCAGTGTCCATCCCCACAAGTGCCTGGCTTGTTGGTGCATTAACTAGTCAACAACGTGTACAAATATTCTCAAAATGGCTAGAGAGCTTCAGCAAGTCGGCATTTTACCATAAAAGTATTCATCAATAATGCAGCAATTTTACGTATGTTGTTTGGCCGACCCTTTTAGAGTACAAAGGCAAAATTGCCAAAGCTATTACCCTATGCACACCTCAGTTCCTACCTACAGATCTACTAAAGGACATTCTACTAGAGTCATTCAGAAAGACAGAAGCAGCCTTCACCCATCCATATACCAAGCCCGGTCTGTATTATCTAGCATGCACATTAGAAGGTCCAAAGCTTCCTTCTCACGTGGGACATCTTGAATTGTAGCTTTATTGGACCTTCTGAGATAAAAGCAATATCATCCGTTCAGGGCTTGCAAAGCAATATTTTAAAATGACTTGTGTTCTGTCTATCATTGACAAAATGTATTGCTATGGTGACCCTGATAGGGAATAGTAATGTGCTGTATGTTCTGAGATGTATATTTCATGATGATGGAAATATTCTTCACTGATTGCCTATCTGTCCAATAAACAGACGATGTAGACTTGTGAAGGTGGTTGAGTAACATTGTTGCCCATGTTTTAATATCCTTTTTAGGGACGTTTTGCTGCTTAGACAGTTAATCTCAGAGGACCACAGACCTTAACAATCCACACTATACCATGATTCTTGTCCTTTTATAGGTCAGGCCTGCTAAATATTATTTCTGTTTTGGATGGACACCGGTGAGGTAAATCATCCTTTAGCTTCTTGTTTCTCCCAGAGAGTGCAACAGCAAGTTTTCTGTTTACCCCTCATCATACCTAAAAAAGCTGCCACTGGATTTATTCTGCTATAAAGGATAACCCAATAGCTATTTTATTAGGTCTAGGAACACCAAGCAACTTACCTCTGTTTTTTCCTTTTACGGGCTTTTGAGACTTGTTATTGCAGGCCCAGGCTGGTGTAAACATTGCTCTGTTTACATTCAGCTTGTGTCGGTCCACACTATAACTACAGACAGGGAGGGAGAACAAGGGAGGGTACCTGTTCAATGTATCAATTTGGTTCAGTTCTCCTAAGAGACCTAAATGATGCTTTTTATACTGCACTTATGTAGTCAGTGGAGATCACAAATTGCTAGAAGGAGGCAGAATTCAAATTGTCATAATTAATAAAACATATACTATGAGAACTCATTCAGCCTGCCCAGATACTAGTATCGGTATCGGTGCCGATATCGAGTATTTGGGCGAGTACTCGTACTCATCCAAATGCTCTGATACTTACCTCCAATACCAGAACTTCCGGTCAGAGGGAGAACTGACTGGTACCGGAACTTCCGGTCAGAGGGATAACTGACCGGTAGTGCCAAGGCAGCATGGAGCCGGCTTCCTTTCCAATCAGGAAGCCGGCCGGTAGGTTATGACTCGTGTCCTGGCTTCCTGATTGGTCAGGAAGCCACGCTGCTTAGAAACAAGTGAAGCCAGCTTCCTAGCCAATCAGGAAGCCAGGAGGCGGGTCATGACGTGCCGCCCGGCTTCCTGATTGGTCAGGAAGTCAGGCAGCCTCTGAAGCCAGTGTTCTTTTGCTAGAACACCGGCTTCATAGGCAATCAGGAAGCTGGGCGACAGGTCATGATCTGCCGTCCGACTTCCTTATAATCAGGGCACAAGGCACCGGTACTCGGTATTGGCAAGTACCTGAAAAAAAAAATCGTTTTGTCTGTATACCATTGGGGAAATTTTCCTTTCACTTCCTGTCCAAGAGATACATCAGGAAGTTAGAGGAAATACCCTAAAGTAAAGAGAATTCCCCTTATCGGACAATTGTTCCCAGAAGAAGTATCTCCATTGGAAGATTACCTACCACCCACCTGGTTCTGGTGGAAACCCAGATTTACCCTCACTTTCTCTCAGTGACAATGGTCACCTGTACATATAGAAGGGTGACTCTCCCCAAGGGGACAGAGACGGCAATAAAACTTGACAGAAGACCTAACTCTCCCCCACTCTAAAGCCTGAGCTTTAAATCTTGTGCCTTGACTCACAACAAGAACGTCCTTGAATTCCCAAAATTGATCTCTATATTTTACGGTCTACCTTTCTCCAAGATGGAGGCTTACTCTGCTTGCTGCACTATCCCACTATAGAAAGAAGAGTCAAATCTAGTCGAGAAAGTAAGACCCATTTATGGGTAATTGGATGGAGAAGTTGCACAGTGAGCCCCTTAAAGATATATCAACGTAGTAGGTAATTCATTCCACCAGTGCCTACCTACAGAGATTTTGGATTGGCACCAAGTGCCTTTTTCTGGTGTATTTTTAGTAAACAGATGGTTGTTGTTTCATTGTACACGATTGGGTATGCTATGCACAGTGAACATGCTCTACTGCTTTTATAAATGAACCACATTAGGAGGGCAGGGGCTTAAAGGACACTAGTGGAATCAATAAAAGCTATGTGAATTCACCTTGTGGATGGTCTAACTTAAGCTATTCTTTTAAGTCTGAGTGTGAAATGGTTAGAATCTGTCAATGTTTTTCGCTTTCTCTGCCCCCATTTGGCAGATCTCTACCTAACTCCTGTCTATTTTGAAGACCAGGAAGTTGAAGATCTCCTCGTTTCCTGTCCGACAGGTGTAAGAGGACATTTCACCAACAGAAACACTGCAATACACAATGGGGCACAGGTATAAACTTTCACTGGGCGAATGCCATAGAAGTTTCCATTGCACCTCTTCGACAACTAGTGCTAAGATGGCATTGCCCAAGCTTTATGCTGGGCGAAAGGTTTATACAAGAGCCCCAAAGTTTAGTTTCTTCCAATAATTTGTTCTCTTTGTAATACTTATAGCTAATTTGCCTACAAATGTCAGGTGGTCATAATAAACTGGCCACTCAGTGTATATATTTACATCTTAATACTATTTGATGATATTGACTGATAATGTACCTATTCTCCACCCGTTACCATTAGAACCGCATCAAAAACAAACAAATGCTGAATGTTTTTTAGACCAATAATTTAATAGCATCATTGTTCCCCATTGGGGCATTTACAGCAGTCAAAGGGACAGAGGGGGGAAGGAAAAGAGTTAAGAATCAGCGACTTCTGAACTCCTGCGGCCAAAATCCATCCATCCGGCGTAATCCCGGTCATGCATGGGGTTCAGATGGTCCTCCCCGTTGGACATTTCTGTGGTGGAAGAACAACAATAGGAGAAAAATTTAGGCAACAGGTACGGCTTCATATGTATTCAGCAATTTCTGCTACTGCAATCTCTGCCCGGTTGTGTTTTGGTGCAGGAAGGAGCGTGGCTAGCCATAGGCAATTTTTTTTCTCCTCTAGACTTTGGGCTGAATATGAAACAATGCTCGATTCCCCTTTCCACACTAACAGCATAGACGGGGGGATCTCCCATGCCGACTATTGTATCCTGACAGCTGATTGGCTTAAGTCACCATTTGGCTGATAATTTTTGGACCGGATGAGTCGCGGCTTATTCGTATGTAAACATCACAGTTGAGTTTTATTTTTGGTGGGGGTCCAGTAGCCCCTATCTTCATTTTGGTTGCCCCTGCCTGCATGACATCTTGTGACCGGGTTTCTGCTGCCATGAAACCCGGACACAGCATTCAAAACCCGGAGTGTCTGGGTGAATCCCGGACAGGTGGCGGGCAGGTAGTTCTTTTCTACATTTAGCCCATCATAATGTAACCGAGATCACTTGTATGCAGCCTGGAGGTCCATCCCCCCCGTCCCCCCCACCATGTAACTCTCTCCTCCATGGTCGCCTCTGTCCCAAGAGCTTCATGATGGAGAGCAGTGAGCAGAGCGGAAAATGTCCGTTCTCCGCTCTGCTCTATGTAAACAGTGAGAGGGGAGAGCTGCACTTGCATCCTTCCCATCTCAGCTGTCACACGAGTTCCAGCACTGTGCTGTGCTAGAACTCCTGTATTGGAGGTGACAGGTTCAATAAAGAGAACCTGTCACAAATGTTATCACACAGGGACTTGTTAGCTCCTGTGTGATAGCAATAAAGTTAAGGGGGGGAAAAAAATAATGAAATAAATAAAATGCCATGCGGGAGGCCTGGGTCGCTATGGGATTCTCTGCTGGTGGCTTTCACTGGCAGCTGAAGACGAACACGCGGCTGTTCAGATCACTGACAGTAATCTGTGCAGCAGCGCCTTCCTCTCCACAGAGTCAATGAGAGCCAGCAGCGGCAGTGGAGGAGGCGGGGCGGCAGCAGGGGAGGAGGCTGGGCACGGCGACGGAGGAGGAGGCGGGGCCCATCAGCGACCGTAGAGGAGGCGGACAGGTAAGGAGTGAGACCAGCCCACCTGAGGATGACCCTGCATAGCCCACCAAGAGAGTCTATGGTGGGCTCTGCAAGTTTACTCTCAGGTGGGATCTCGAGTGGGCTCTGCAAGGGTTGCAACTAGAAATCACGGGGGCCCCATACAAAATTGTGCTATGGGGCCCTGTGATTTCTAGTTACGCCCCTGGCTATGGGTTATTGCAGTGTAGTGTTATTGCAGTCAAGATGGTGTCCTGTGGGTCAAGGCAATGGACTTAGTGGTAGAGTTTAACCAGCTTGGACTAGCCTTAAGGAGACCGAGGGGGAGACACTGATGGTAGTAATACCCAGAAATACTAATGTGGTATGTAATGATGTCACAGCACTGGTTTTAGGCACCGCCCACCATCTGTGGCAGTGGCGCTGTGTGTATGCTACTGACGTAAAAAATAAAATGGTTGTGAGCGCTAATCCATGTGCAACCACCTTTTCAGATTTATTGACTAAAATTGTATAAACTGCAGAAACCAATAGCAACCAATTGTCTTTCCGACTGGGTAGCCTTCTATATGGATTGGTATGGGTTATTGCACTGTGGAAGCAGCAGTCAAGATGGTACCCTGTGGTTCAAGGCAATGGACTCTTGAAAGTAGAGTTTAATCAGAAGGGAAGAGCCTTTAGGAGGCCAAGTGGGACCCTGGTCTAGGTCTGATGGCAGCAATGTAACACAATGATTGACCATTAATCCACTAATTATATGGCAAGCATTGGTATCACAGCTCTGGTTTTAACCCCCAGCCCTGTATCTGAGGTGGTGGTGTTGTGTATGTGCTGCTAACCTCAATGATAACATGATTGTGAGTTCAAATCCCCTACAACCATTGTTTCAGATTTACTTGTATAAACTGCGGAAACCAATGGAACCCCATTGGCTTTAGACTAGGTAGTGTTTCATATTGATTGCTTTTGGTTATTGCACTGTGCAGGTAGAGGGCATCTTTTATTTCAAGGCAATGGACTCTTGAAAGTAGAGTGTAACCGGAAGGAATAGCTTTTTGGAGGCTGTTTGACCATTAATCCACAATATGTATGGCGTATAATGATATCACAGCTCTGGTTTGGGCCCCGCCCACCATCTGAGGTAGTGGCGTTGTGTGTATGCTGCTGACCACAAAAATAAAATGGTTGTGAGTTCGAATCACCCAGGGACCACATTTTCAGATTTATTTATTAACGTTGTATAAACTTAAGAAACCAGTATCAACCAATTGGTTTTAAGACTAGGTAGCCTATCATATTCGTGGCTCTGGGCTATTGTACCTTGCAGGCAATTGAGACGGTGTCCTTTGGATCAAAGCAGTAGACTCTTGATAATAACTGAGTTTTACTAGGTGGGGATAGCCCATTGGAGGCCAAGCGGTAGACTAGTCAAGATCTATCGGCAACAATTAAATACAATGTGTGACCGTTAAACCACTAATCGTATGGTAAGCAAAAATATTACAGCTCTGGTTTGGGCCCCAGCCCACTATCTGAAGCAGTGGCGTTGTGTGATGGTGTGCCTTTGGTTCACAGCAATGGACTCTTGAAAGTAACTGAGGCAAGTGGGAGGCTATCCTAGGTCTAATGGCAGCGATTAAATACAATGGGTGACCATTAAACCACTAATCGCCTGGTAGGCTATGGTATCAAAGCTCTGGTTTTGGCCCCACCCACCAACTGAGCCAGTGGCGTTGGGTGTATGCTACTGACCATAAACATGAAATGGTTGTGAGTCCCAGGTGACCACCCTTTCAGATTTATTTATTAAAGTTGTATGAACTGCAGAAACCAGTAGCAACCAATTGGCTTTCAGACTAGATAGCCTTTCATATTGGTGGCTCTGGGTTATTGAACTTTGCAGGCAGTTGAGATGGCGTCCTTTAGTCCAAGGCAATGGACTCTTGAAAGTAACTGTTTTTTTTACCAGCTGGAGATAGTCATTGATGCAAAGATTAATTTAACCATTAATCTACCAATCATATGGTATGTCATGATATCACCACTCTGGTTTTGGCCCCGCCCACCATCTGAGGCAGTGGCTTTGTGTGTAGGATGGCAATCTCACTAATAGAATGGTTGTGAGTTCGAATCCTCAGATGGCCACCTTTTCAGATTTATTTATGAAAGTTACATAAAGTGCAGAAACCGATAGCAACCAATCAGCTTTCCTACCGGGTATGGTTCATATTGGTTGCTATGGGGTACTGCACTTTACAATTTGTATTACCTTGCTTGATAACCTCGGTTGAATTTGAGTTGTATTACCACTTCTCACAGACTCAATCATCCAACGCTGTGGCTCAGCATGAAGGGCGATGATTGTGGAACCTGAAGGCCATGTGTTTGATTCCCAAGGTAGAGCAAACTACCAAATGGCTGTTTGGGGTAAAACAGCAACAATGTGCTTGGTGGAATGTGAAGGGGCGTCCCTGGTCACAAAAGTCTGGTGAGAAGTTAAAGAGCAGACCTTCTCGCCTAAAGAACTGTGAGGTGTTTGGCACCGTGTGAATGAAAAAGAAGGGGCATCCCTGGTCACAAAAACCTGGTGAGGGGTTAAAGAAGGAGTGGTCCTGCTCCCCAAAGAACTATGAGGTTGGTGCCATGTGAATGAAAGCTCAGTGACATACGCTCAAGCCATGAAGGGGCATCCCTGGTCACAAAAACCTGGTGTGGGGTCAAAGAAAGAGTGGATCTGCTCCTCAAAGAACTGTGAAGTTGGCACTATGTGAAGTAAACTCCAGCCCTATGACCCTGAAGCTGGGTGTGCAGGGAGACATGTGAATGAAATGCCAAAGAAAAGGGGATAAAGGATGACCTGGCACAGGCAGCTGCTGCTGTAAGTTGGAAGATGACTCACAGAAAAACAAGCACCAGTAAATTTTTTTGCATTCATTTGCCTAAAATTAAGGAAATGTTCAAGAAACCTTGCCCAGTTCTCTCTGTCCACTCCACCATCCTCAGTGCACAGCTTTCATTTGACAAGCTCATTCAGCTACTTCCCCACAACCTCTTCAAGTCTCCCAAGGAAGGTGGTCCTCACCACCACATGTTCAAGCTCTGAGCACTTCCACTGGGTCTTCACACATTTTTGCACCCATCACACAACCCAGTGGTCTTGGTCCTGCTTCAAGTGACCAACTTTGCACTCACTTGTGGGAATCAAACCCACAACACTCTGATTCAGGCTCCAGGAGCCTTACACGCTGCACCACAGAACCAGAAGACAACAGAATGAGTTGCTCATGTTCCTATATCATGGAGATTGGCTCTCTGAGCCAATTGAACTCTAAAACAAACATGTTACCACAGTATAGATTCGAACCGGGCAAGTTAAGGCCTGCAACATTGTAAACCAGCAAGCAAACAACACACACCACAAGGCCTGGACATGGGGAAACCTTCTCAGTAATATATACTAAAGACAACTTTGGAGGTGGGACAATAAAAAGTGTACAGGGGCTCATAAATCATAGAACTGACCCCTCTACATGCAGATTTGAACACACCCCCTAGAGCGTACAAGACGAGCACTCTACCCAGAGCCGTAGCTAGCTCCTCTTGCACCCGAGGCAAAAACAGAAAATTGTACCCCCCAACAGACATGTGCGGTATGTGACATCATGCACCCCGCTTCCAGGATGGGGATGGAGAACGTGCTGGTGGCCAAATCCAAAATAGCATAAAAACTTGTTTCGTTTGACGAAAACTGATGAAAACATTTTTAGTTTCCGTTCATTTTCTCCGAAGCGAATTTTTAGTCTTTGCACATGTCTAGTAATATGTGTGCGTGTGGGTTTTTTTTTTTTTGCTGTTGGGGAACTTCGGGGAAATATTAGGAGTCTAAACAGACCTTTGACATTTCCCTTTTAAAATAGAAGAAGAGATTGACGACACAGAGTCCTCTGCCCATACAGGTGGGGGGAGAGCAACGGGGATCCGAGGAGAAGCTGGACAATGTGCCGCTCCTCTGCTCCCTGCGGAGCATCGGCTGAGTTGGTCGCCTGGCGCCCCTGTTGCTAATGGCGTCCTGTGCTCGCCATGGCAACAGTGGCAAAGGGGGCGCAGCCAGGCTGGCCCTGGTTGCACCTCCTCTCAGCTGCGCCTGAGGCGAGTGCCTCACTCGCCCCATGGTAGCTACAGCCCTGACTCTACCCACTGAGCTACTTCCACCGCACGCAGAATGCAAATCACTGTGCACACTTCACTATTCTTCAGAAGTTCATCAATGGCCAGGTAGAAAGTATTTACATGGGTGCTGAAAGCAAAGAGAACCTGCCTTGATTTGGCCAACCAATATGCTGAGTTGCCATCACTTCCCCGGCAGAAAGCCATTGGCACAAGTGCCTAGCACAGGCCACATAGCACAGAGCCATGGTGCAGCGGGAAGGATTCCAACAAAATTGTCAGGATCCACCCCAGCTCCCTAAGTGACAGCTGGCTCCGCCTCTAGAACTCAGCTGTGCCCATCTTTTCCCCAGTCTGTCCTTCCAATGAGCACTTTAAGTAGGGTCGCCACCTTTTCAAGCAAAACCCGAACACACTCGAGCGACGCGCGGACATTTTTTTGGGAGTTCTGGCTTATGTAAATAGTGCCCCCCAAGACCAGTATATGACCAGCTTATGCTGCAGAAGGGGATACTTAGGCCCAAAAAAATGAATTGCAGTAACTTAAAGGTCTGTATGGCAGTAATTGTAAATTATTTTGTAGCTCAGTCATAGAGTGCAGCATTTGGAGCTATCTAGAGTAGCCTTTTTCAACCAGGGTGCCTTCTGGCTTCCTCAGAGGTGCCTGAGGGAAGCCTGGTGGCTTCTGAAGTGAAGCGGGGACTTTAATATGAAAAGGGGGCTGTGATATAAAGGAGGGCTCTAATGTAAAAAGGGGGGTTTCTACACTTATGAGGGCTCTTGATGTGACCTACATCTCTGCAGCATGATGGAGCAATGCTGGTTCAGTACCTTATAAAAGATCAGATGTTCTATTGTTCCCCATGCAATCCTAAAATAATTTCTAGGACCTCCCTGAAATTAGTATCAGCAAGAGGAGAGACTAATGGGTGTATGTATTACCAATGCGTGGAGATGAGGAGCATAGGAAATAAGTATGAAATAAAGATGCTGATTGGTTGCCATGGGCAACTGCTCCAGATTCGGTCTGCTCCAGTTTTGATAAATTCTCCCCATAGTATTTTATATTACGGACACATTATGGTTGAGGATTTCAGTACAAGCTATTAGGGGACAGCAGAAGCAAGGAAAGAAGAAACAAAGGGATATTTGCACATGCTGTGGTCATGCTCTATATTCATTTTTGCTGCACGTTACCTGCAAGTAGCTGGGGGAGAAGCTGTGACATGATGAGCTGCTTCTGTTCATGGGACAGGGATGCGAGGAGGTCCCGTCTGCTGACTGCAGGAATGGAGTTCTTCCTCTGAGCTCCGTGTCTTGCTGATTCTAGCTCTGTCATTGGTCTGCACAGGGCTGCTGTGGCAAGCATGGCTAGCAGAATACTAACACAAACCTTCTTGTCCATTTCTGCAACACAAGAACGTACAAAAGGATCATCCTGTTGAAGGGACGTAGCGTAATGGAGGGGTGGCCAACCTCTGCACTTCAGCTGTGGTGAAACCACAAATGCCATCATTCCTCTTCCTTTGGGAGTCATGCCTGAGCCTTGCAATACCCCATTGCACTTGTAGTTTCACAACAGCTGGAGTGCCCAGGTTGCGTACCCCTTCCAGAATGGGAACATATGAGGGTTCTAACCATTCACAGTGGTGCCCAATTCTAGGAGTAAATACAATGTTCTTTACTCTCCCCAAAAAACTGGGGTACAATTAGTAAAACCCCACTACTGGGGTACAATTAGTAAAACCCCACTACTGGGGTACAATTAGTAAAACCCCACCACTGGGGTGCAATTAGTAAAACCCCACTACTGGGGTACAATTAGTAAAACCCCACTACTGGGGTACAATTAGTAAAACCCCACCACTGGGGTACAATTAGTAAAACCCCACTACTGGGGTACAATTAGTAAACCCCCACCACTGGGGTACAATTAGTAAAACCCCACCACTGGGGTACAATTAGTAAAACCCCACCACTGGGGTACAATTAGTAAAACCCCACCACTGGGGTACAATTAGCAAAACCCCACTACTGGGGTACAATCAGTAAAACCCCACTACTGGGGTACAATTAGTAACCCCAACCAAAACTTCTAGGTAAAATAATGTCCTCTGTGTCTTCCTACTGGACAATATATATGGTCTAATGAGAGTACCAAACAAGAGTATAATTGGTTCACCAATGGAGCCA